ATTTTTAGGCTCCTTTTTTTCCTTGTTCCTGTTTATATGTTTTCGCCAAGCTTTTTTTTGTTTTCTTAAACTAAATTTATAACTGGTTTAACAGAAGCATATCAACGTGGTAAAGAATCTGCCATGAACTCCAAAAATAGAAGAAAATGGAAATTTGTTGATTTTGGATTCGTGTTCGTTTCTTTTTTCGTTTGCACATGGAGAAGGTGTATCAGTATAGAAGTATTTAAAAAGAGGGGGATGTATCCTGTGTTGAGTACTTTTTCCCACCGCTTTGTAAATCTCAAATGTATGCAACGACTGATATTTTTATTTGGTGAGTTGTTATGCACTGTTACTTATGTCAAATTTTATTCTATGTTGATAATAATGATGTAAATTTGCTAGTTATATATCTGTTAAACTATATTTTACAATGGTGAAGAATTTTGCATGTTTTTATTTGTTCCATTAACGTGGAGAATCTAGAACACCTTTTTGGAATAGCAAGAAGTAAGACTTTGATGATCTATTCAGGATCAATGTTTCCTCTTTATTTTGTGAATGTAATTTTGTGTGCCTCTTAATTTTCCTTGTGCCTTATCGTTGTATGAGAGTTTGTCTGAGCCAGTCTTTCAGTAAATGATGCTTTATTCGGCTTTATCCACATTTTTCATTCTCTGTGTTTTCTCCCAAAGACGTAATGTGTGCATCGTTATGCTCACGTTACGTTTTCGGATAGCTAATAACAAAGGAAGGTAAGTTAGAAATAGACATTGGGGTCAAACCCATAGTGATTTATTTTTTCACATTATCCTTGGGCTATCTGACAGGTATTGAGCCTTTTAATCGATCAAACATCATTGAATCGATTCAAAATACTATTAATACCCAGGGCTCATTTTTCTGTTTTTTTCTGCGCTGCTCTTTATTGACATAGAATTTATAAAACATTCGAGCTCATGAGCACGCACTGTAACACGACCGAACGCAATAGTAGTTTTTTTTCTAATGGCATAACAGAAGAGGATTGGAGCCGATTGCATGGTCGTGTCATTCCGAACTCTGTCGACTTCGAAGAGTTCAAAGCGATTGTGTCAGAAGGAAAGCTGCAGGACAGGTACCTAGCGAAAGATATCCATAAGATCATGCAGGAAATGCGGGATATTCTACTAGAGCATGGCGAGCTACGTGAGGCAGCTACTTTCCCTGTCACCGGCCGAAAGGCGGATCTCTCCCGTGCGGCTGCCGCGGCGGTGAGGGTACTCAACCGAGAACGGCTACGCCCACCTTTTACAGAACCAAATTCGTTGTTCCTTAGCAATAGATCTGATGCGCCCTCCTCGTCTTTAACCCTCAATTCCCTTGTCAAGAATGGCAACGGGTGCAATGTTAGCACAAGCAATTTCATCGAAGAGGAGACACCACCGGTTGCTAAGTTGTACCGAGTGTCTTGTAATAGTGAGAGTCGCCATCCAAGGCCACCACCCATCGTGGATCACATCACCGATTTCCCAGACTCTGCCCCTCCAGTGAGTTTAGTCGCACCGCTGGCAGCTGGTCCCGTCGCAGAAAATCATGTATCTGGTTCTAACTCCCCGCAAGATGCACAGCCACTCGAAACCGCACGAGCATCCAATGTCGAGCCTGCACCTGGCGTGCTAGGATATCCAAGGGATCGAATCCTGACCACTCCTGTTCCAAAAAGACTGAACTCATTGCCCCTTAATGGCATCAACGCCACGCCTACGACAGTCGGGGGAATGACAGGCATGAAAAACACTCCCGTTGGATCTTCCACTACAACATCGTCCACATCGGGCTCTGGTGGTACTGAAATAATGCACTTCAATGATCGCTTTTCGCCTTTCTTCTCAATACTTGGCATTGTTCGCCGCTTTCAACTGCGCTATGGTAGTCATTCAATGAAGTTCGAGGTGCCCGTGCAATATGCAAATGCTGTTGCCGCGCGTCGGCTCCGTATCCATTTGATCCCCTTTCGACATCCGAACCTTCCCGCACGGTGGCCTACCGCAAAGGAAATCACTATTTATGTGAATGATCAGTGTGTTTTAGCGTCCTGGCGACGCGCGTGGCCAGAACGGAAGCAAGAGGTGGCCAAGACCTTTTTATCTCTAGATATTACGCAGTATATTAATCGGCCACAGAGCAGCCAGCGGCTGAGAATCGATGTATTCAACAGGGATTACTTTACACCAACACTGTTGGCAGTGGTGCAATCCAATGCGCTCGAGGATATTGTGGCGAATTTTTTGGAGAAAAGGTTTGGTGAAGGTCGTATATCCAAGATAATAGAGCATCTCACCGTCGCTGCCCCTCCTTCGGATGTGTCTGCTTCAACAGGGGTTCGATCTATGTTGAATCAAAGCGATCAGCGTGCGGTATCGTTCTATCGTAGTATACTGTTCGATGACAGCGATGAAACCCTTGCGGTGGGGGATCCAGTCATCAGCACGAAATGTTCGGTTTCGCAGATGCCCATCGAGGTGCCTGTCCGCGGGGTGCTTTGCCGCCACCTGCAGTGCATCGACCTGCGGTCGCACCTCCTCAGTAGCCATAAGGGTTGCTACTGGAACTGCCCCCTGTGTGATCGTGAAATGTGGTTCAAGGATTTGGTCGTGGACACGTTTCTGTGGAGACGCTTATGCGCGATGCGGGAAACCTTCCCAACGCACTTGCGGCTATCTTCGAGGAAAGACCCATGCACACGAGCCGCTGAGGCCGCAGCTGATGAGGTTACGAGCGCGACCTCCGCTCCGGTGGCGTCATCTCCGGAGTACGGGTGGTACCCATCGAATCAGGAGGGTGGCGCCACCACTTTTGACGGTGGCTTACTGTTAGCTGATGACGCCGATATGGTCGATCAGGAGGTGGGGCAGGAGGTTCGACGAACAGCGGTGGTTTCGCCGGAACGGGAACGCAGCACTTCGCTAGGGGCGCCATTGGGGAGTAAGCGCCTTCGAGCACCGTCTCCGCTTCCCTTGTCCTTGGAGGGCACTGCAGAGAACCCTATTGAGCTTTGACCTTGATGGCTTTCCTCCCCGTTTGTGTTGATCCTTTCGAACCTACTTACCTAAGGTCTGAGAAATAAAATGTCGACTCGCGAGGGTGGGGAATTGTCTGAAGTAATACCGATATGTCTCATCCTACAGTTTTCGTTTGTTCCTTTGTTTTGCGTACTTTAAATTATATATATATATATACATATATATACATATATATATACATACATATATACATACATATAAATTATAAATAAAACTTTTTCCTGAATACTACCCTAGCCTGTTATCGAAAGAGAGGTGTATTCTATAATATAGTGTGCGCATAAGTGCAGGAGGTCACTATTTAGCATAGCTTGCGGATACAAAGGCAATAAACATGCATGTGGTAGGTAGAGAGTGGGAGAACGAAAAAATGATATGGCGTATGCACTCAAAGGTTCCTTGACGGAATCAATCAGTATGTTTGCATGGGGTAATACTAATGACAATCTTCCTGTTTCCCATTCTTTGTTATTTTTATATTATCGATATTATTGTTTTACTAGAAAGCATTTCACATATTAAACTAGATATTTCATATTTTTTTCCCCCTCTCACACACGATCTTTTTTAATTATTTAATTTGCTCTTCTTTTTTGTTTTGATCTCACTTGTCCGTGTCTATTTCAATATTTTTTTTCTGATCCATATAGATATAAACAAATATCTATCTATCTATGTATATCTATATAAATCTTTATATAAATATCTATATATAGATAGATCGACATTTATTTTTTGAAGATCTTTCCGGTTTAAACGTTTCTTCTTTATATCTATATATCTATATCTATATTTGCGTGCATTAGTTGTAGTTCTCGCCTTTTTTTGTTACAATCTCTTGTTTTTCCCTTCAATCTCAAACTCTAGCAAAGCAAACGTATTGTATCGACACAGCGTAAAGTAGGCGGAGTAACATAAGCAAAAAATAATAATAATAATACACTTTAGTGCTTAAAAGTCTACTGTTATCGCCCCCTACACATCACGTTTTTAGCGGCATTCATTACAAGGGTGATACAAAACTCGACTACGCTATGTCGTCGTCTCGACGGGTCTACACCAAGAGTGACTTTCTGGCGCTGGCGCCGCTCGTTCGCGATCTCACGCTCCCCCCCGAGGCGATTAAGAAGTTTGAGGTGATTGAGGGGAACGACCCCGCGTCGGCCCCGGTGCGGCGTGGGATGG